TTATTTTAAAATTATTTATTTATATATATTTTACATCATTGTTCATTTTTTAAAAATGCATTCTAGCTGTTGGTGCCACAAGTTCTTGGCAGGATTTGAAAGAAAAGGCATGCAAAGGATTTGGCATAGAATAACACTTAGTAAATATTAGCTATATATTGACACAAAGTTTTCTCAACATACGTGTTCTTAGAGCTCGTACATGGTGTACATGGTGAACAGTGAGCAGATGGGGAAATAGAGACTCAAGGGTCTTAAGTGACTGATGAGTGGCTGCAGAACTGAAAGGTGGCAGATCCTGTTTGGTGGGCACTGGGGGCAAAAAAGGAGGGGATAATATGGAGTGACAGTGTGTCAGGACTGACTCTGGGTTGTTCTCAAGATCCTGGGGACCATGTGATGCCACAGTGGAGGGCGTGCTGGTCAGTGATGGTCATTACCCTCATGCTACACATTGAGAACAGGGGCCTTCTTGTCTCTTCCGGTCCTAACAGGTGGTGGCCACATGGCCTGGTGGCTTTTCAGAGCAGTTTCTCTTACTCTGATGTGCCGAAGTCCCTTCAAGTCCAAGATGCATGCAGTAGGTGTTCAGTAAATTTCACTGTTGTTGTTTCTCCTTAACCATAGAAGCCTTTGGCAATGTTTTCCTCCTCTGAATTTCTAGATCTTTATGTGTGTGTATTACTCATTTGCCATCAGCCATAATTTTATTTTCTTGTTGAATTTTTAATGTGTTTATCTTGTGATTTCAGTACACATTATTATTTTTTTTAATAATAAATTTTATTTTTATATTCCCCCATACAATTGCAAATGCCCCATTCTGACCCCAATCCTTCCCCTCCCGCCCCCCACCCCCCAAAAAGTGTCTCTGGTTCATAGTTTTTTGTTGATTTTGATTTTCACTTTCTTATATTCATTTTCCTGATCCCTTATTTAAGTTTTCTAGATTCCTGCTATGAGTGAGACCATCCGATATTTTTCTTTTTCTTTTTGCCTTATTTCGCTGAGCATGATCCCTTCCAGCGCCATCCATGTTGCTGCAAATTGCATGTGTTTATCTTTTTTGAATGCTGAGTAATATTCCATGGTATATATGTACCACATCTTCTTGATCCAGTCATCTATTTTTGGGCATTTGGGTTGTTTCCAAAGCTTAGCTATTGTAAACAGTGCTGCTATAAACATAGGGGTGCAGGTGCTCTTTGGAATTGATGTTTCTGTGTCCTTTGGGTAAATACCTAGGAGTGGAATTGCTGGATCATATGGAAGCTCTATGTTTAGTAGGTCCAGAAATCTCCACACAGCTCTCCACAGTGGTTGGACCAGTTTGCACTTCCACCAACAGTGCAGGAGAGTTCCTTTTTCTCCACACCCTCGCCAACATTTGTTGTTGCTAGTTTTTTTAATATGTGCCATTCTCACTGGTGTGAGATGGTATCTCATGGTAGTTTTGATTTGCATTTCCCTGATGACAAGTGATGTTGAACATTTTTTCATATGCCTGTTGGCCATTTGCATTTCCTCTTCAGAGAAGTTTCTTTTTAGCTCTTCTGCCCATTTTTTGACTGGATTATTTTCTTTGTTGTTGTTGAGTCTCATCAGCTCTTTGCAGATTTTTGTGATCAGTCCTTTATCATTAGTGTTGGGTGCAAAAATGTTCTCCCAGTTGGTGGGGTTTCTCTTTGTTTTTGTTATTGTCTCTTTTGCTGTGCAGAAGCTCTTTAATTTGATGTAGTCCCAGCTGTTTATCTTTGCCTTCACTATCACTGCTTTGGGTGATGTGTCCGTAAAGATGTCTTTGATGTGCAAATCCCGTAGTGTTTCGCCTATATTTCCTTCTATGTATTTTATGGTTTCAGGTCTTATGTCTAGTTCTTTAATCCATTTTGAGTTGATTTTTGTGTATGGTGTGAGGTAGTGGTCAAGCTTCATTCTTTTGCATGTAGCGACCCAGTTTTCCCAGCACCATTTATTGAACAAACTTTCTTTGCTCCAATGCATAGTCTTTGCTCCTTTGTCAAAGATTAGTTGACCATAAATCTGTGGGTTTATTTCTGGATTTTCTATTCGATTCCATTGGTCTGTATGTCTGTTCTTGTTCCAATACCATGCAGTTTTGATGATTATGGCTTTGTAGTATAGTTTGAAGTCTGGGAGTGTGATGCCTCCATTTCCTTCTTTTTTTTTCAGTAGAGCTTTGGCTATTCGGGGGTTTTGGTGATTCCATATGAATTTCATCAATAATTGTTCTATTTCTTTGAAGAATGACATTGAAATTTTGATTGGAATAGCATTGAATCTGTATATTGCTTTTGGTAGGATGGCCATTTTAATAATGTTTATTCTTCCAATCCATGAGCAGGGGATGTCTTTCCATTTCTTTGTGTCTTCTTCTATTTCTTTTAACAGTGTTTTATAGTTTTCTTTGTATAGGTCCTTTACCTCTTTTGTTAGATTTATTCCCAAATATTTGATTTTTTTTGTTTCGATAATAAAAGGGATGGTTTTTTTGATTTCTTCTTCTTCAGATTTGTTGTTTGTGTATAGGAAGGCTACTGACTTTTGCGTGTTGATTTTGTATCCTGCCACTTTATTGAATTGATTGATGAGTTGAATTAGTTTTTCTGTGGAGATTTTGGGGTTCTCTATGTATATTATCATATCATCTGCAAATAGTGATAGTTTGACTTCTTCTTTTCCTATTTGGATTCCTTGGATGTCTTTCTCTTGTCTTATTGCTCTGGCTAGGACTTCCAGTATTATATTGAAAAGCAGTGGTGAGAGTGGACATCCTTGTCTTGTTCCAGATCTTAATGGAATTGCTTTCAGCTTTTCACCATTGAGAATGATACTGGCTGTTGGCTTGTCATAGATGGCCTTTATGATGTTGAGGTATGTTCCTTGTATCCCAAGAATTTCAAGGGCTTTTATCATGAATGGGTGTTGCACTTTGTCGAAAGCTTTCTCAGCATCTATTGATATTATCATATGGTTTTTATATTTCTTTTTGTTGATGTGTTGGATAACGTTGATTGATTTTCGGATGTTAAACCATCCTTGTGTCCCTGGAATGAATCCAACTTGGTCGTGGTGAATTATCTTATGGATACATTGTTGGATTCTGATAGCTAAAATTTTATTGAGGATTTTTGCATCAGTGTTCATTAGGGAGATTGGCCTGTAGTTTTCCTTTTTTGTGTTGTCCTTATTCGGTTTTGGTATTAGTAGTACACATTATTTTTATCAGAGACTACAATATTAACCTACAAAGGATACTGAACAGATTCAACTGGTCAGAGAAAAATAACAAAAATTGTCCACATTCATCAAATTCCTTGTCTGTTTCGTAAGCCAAGAAAACAAATAATTAAAAGGAGACCGTCTAACATGTCTCCCACAATTTGCCACCAATATGTGAGTTTAATAACTAAAGGGGCTCCCGGTGGGGTAAAGGTGGTGACAGGTGGTGGTCACAGGGTCTGCTGGCAAATAAGGAGCCTGAGACTTATTTCCTTAGGGTTCCCCTTAAATCTCCAGAACCTCCCTTTTCCTTTCTCTTTTCCAGGCCCCAGGTCCTCTGGCTCACTTTTTGCCTTCTGCATTCTGTGCTCTTGGCGCCTCCTTGTGGCTAAAAGAATCCACTGCATCGTTGACTGCAACTGTTGTTGGAAAATCCCAGAGATCATAGAAGGTTGGAATACAAGGGAATTAGATTACTCTACGATTCCCACTGATAAAAACCAATCTGAACCAGGAATCTCAGATTCCAGACTAGTTCCCCAAATGGACTGTCAGTGACTAAATCTTTGAGTAAAAGTAATGTGTGTGGCTCAGGATGGGAAATGACTACAGTCAGTTGCTAAGTTGTTTTTAGGGCCAAAAACGTGAACTAATTAAAGTCAGCGAAGTTTGGTGCGTAAACTCTGGAGAAAGATGAAATTAGATAAACACTGTAACTTTATCTCACTGAGCCTCAGTTTCCTCATCTGTAAAATGAGGCTAAGAGAAGCACCTGGCTACTTTGTAGGGAGATGTGGGGATGGCACAAGGTGGTGTCTGTCAGTTTCCTCATGTCATCAGCTCTTTGCTGCATCGTGATCGTTAAGAGGGATGTTGCGGTACCTGACACATAATAGGCACTCTGCAAGTGCAAGGTAGCTGTAAGGATGAGTTAATAAACACTGTGCTGTTGTATGTGGTGATGGCAGGTTAAATGATAAAATCCTCCCTCCAGGAGCAGAGGTTAAGGGCTCTGGAATCAGAAATTCCTCTCTCTCGCTTTTTTTTTTTAAAGATTTATTTATTTATGCATACAAGGCCTGGGGTACAGGCCAGAGGTGTGGGGAGGCGAGAGAAGTCACCAAAGACAGAGTGGGGAACAAAACAGCAGACTGAGTGAAACACACTGCTGAGGGGAGCAGCGGGCAAGACAGGAGAGGCCTGCTGCACCATGTGAGTAGCTCCCTGGCTGGGGCTCGAACTCTGTGCTGCAGTGGCTGCAGGCAGCTTCATAGGTTGCACCTTAACCCCTTGCGCCACCAGGGAGGCCCCAGCACTGTGCTTTGAGTCCACTCCCTAAGCTCTCTGGCCTCCGTTTCCTCACCTGTAAAGGTGTAGAATAAAATCCAAGTTTGCCCTGAAGCCTGCATGTGCAGTGTCTGTGAGGCTTGCAATACATCGTTCTCTTTCCTCCCACCTGATGGAGGAGACGCCAAGCCACGAGGCACGCAGGCCCCGGGAAGGCCCGGGAGCAGAGCCCGCGGGCGGCTCGGTAATGGCCGCCGCACCGCTCCTGGGGCAGGAAAGGGCGAGGCAACGACGAGCAACGCTCAGCTCCCCCAAACCTGTCGCCCCGAAGGCCCCCGGGGCGCGGGGACCACCCCGGCCACCCCGCCTTCCGGCCGCCTGGGCCCCGCCCCGCTTCCGGTTCCGGGTCTGGCGCCGGCGGCGGGCGGCGGCTTCCGGGAAGGCCGAGCAGGGGTGCGGCCCGGCCGGGGGTGTCGGCGGGGGCCGCGGAGCTTGAGGCGGCGCAGCCATGGAGAGCGGGGGGCGGCCGTCGCTGGGCCAGTTCCTCCTGCTGGGGACCAGCTCGGTGGTGACCGCCGTGCTGTACTCCGTGTACCGCCAGAAGGCCCAGGTCGCCCAGGAGCTCAAGGTCAGTGCTGGGGCCGCCGGGCCCTCGGCCCCCCGACTCCGCGGGCGGGGACCCCCCAGGGGGAGGCAGGCCGGCCGAGGCCTGGCGGTGCCGGAGCCGGGGCGGAATTCGAGCCTCCTGGTCTCGTCTGCGCGGCCCCTTTTACCCGGAGCCCCGCCCGCTACTCGGCAAGTCTAGACGTCACGCCCCCGCCCGCCACGTCCGAGCCGGACGCCTGCTGGGCCCAGGCCCGGGGGCCGGCGTGGCCCGGGCGGAGGAAGCCCTTGCCCGCAGGACAGCCCACTCGGGAGCAGCTGGAGACTGTGAGCCCGGAAAGCAGCCGGCGGGGCCCGGGGAGGGAGGAGCTACGAGGAGTCTGCCGGGAGCGGAAGCGGAATGCTGGGGAGGGAGGTGACCCCAGCTGAGCGGCAGCGGATGGGGGTCACCGGGCGGCGGATGGGGGCCCCCCCGCAGATGTCCCGGGGAAGAGGGGGTACGGGGAACAGAAGGTGCGGAGACGCTGGGTTTTGCCCACTCAGCTCCTTGCTTCGCTTCCTTTTTTATGTTCCAGTAATTTTAAAAATAACCTCTGTTTCTTGAGTTGTCCTTCCCAGCTGACACAACACATTTCCATCCTGATTTTAATTTTCTCTTCAGAGTAATTTTTTGAGATAGGTGAAACGGCGGTTACCTCCAGACTGCAAATCGGGACACGCGACTCCGCGGAAAGGTCTTAAGGCTTGTCAGCCAGGAACCTGCATTGTGTTTAGATTTCAAGTGCGGGACTTTTTCCTGATGGACCACATTTCTCTGTTGTGAATGTGTGACTCGCTCATGGGAGATACACCTCTTTAGGTCACAGACAGGAGACTGTTTGCCCTTCTGTCCCTCTGGGTTCTGGCAAACAGCAGATGCACAATAAATGCCGGTGAACTTGTTTTGACTGAAACTTCATAACATCACAGACCTCCATCTATCATTTATTTAAAAGATTCCTAAACCTGATGACTAACTTCATTATCACCAGCTTGTTTTCAGCAGGAGCTTAGAAACCAGTATGTGAAATCCCTGCTGTGAGGGGAGTTGCAGAATCTGTTGGAAAGAACCAAGTTACCAGGCAATTAAATTTGTCATGTCATGGCACCCTAGTGAGATCCTGGCTGCACTGGTGTTCTCAAACTCATTAAGTTACTCCGAAGTGACTGGCTAGAAGTGTAACCCATACTTCGTCTCTCACTCCAAAAGTCAGAAATTGGGGTTGGTTAGATGTGGGGGTCTTCAAAGCAGTGAACTCCCCAGGACCCATTTTGAATGACCTTAAAACCTGTGCCACTTTGTTCCTAAATGAGGATAAAACAGTCCTGTCTGTAAAAGAGTTGAAACTCTTAGTATTTATGTTATTTTGAGCAGAAATCATCTACAGAATTTCTCTGTGTTTCTCTCATACTGATGGGAATGCATATTTATTGCATCTCTACTATGTGCCAACCCTTGAGCTGCATTCTTTTGTACTTTAAGTTTCATTTAATCCACAAAAGACTGGTGAGGTTGTTTTCCCCGTCCTTTCTAGTTTTAGCAACCGATACCAGATCATTGAAGTTATCCAGAGTCACAATAGATGCATTGAAGCTTGATTAACTGCAGGCCTTCTGATCGTATCACCCCACTTACCACCCGCTCTGCAGATGAGGGGTGCTGTCCCTGCCTGATGATATGTTAAAACTTCTGGGATATAGAATCGGATGCTCTGGAGTCCCCTTCTTGCCTGATTTCCTTATTCTGTCAGTGAAAAAAAGTCAGTAGTCTTTCCTTTATGCCCTTTAGATTTGATTGAGCTTGTCAGTATTCAGCAGTCAGTTTCATATGTTGTTTGCTTTCAGGGAGCTAAAAAAATCCACTTGGGTGAAGACTTAAAGAGTATTCTCTCAGAAGCTCCAGGAAAATGCGTGCCTTACGCTGTGATTGAAGGTACATTTATTTCCCAGTAAAATGAAAAATAACTTCCTTCTTCCAAGTGTTTGTTAAAGACCTGGGCAGATGGTAAGGGCCTTTAGTAGCCTTGGGACTGTGGTTCAGAACTTGGACTTTGGGATTATTTGCTCTTATGCTCTCAGGGAAATGACCTCATCTTTCCGAACCTTTGTTGGTCACCCCTGAGCTAATCCCTACCTTTTGGGTTGTTGGGAACTGAGGTGATGTGATCTGCGTACAGTGCTGGGCAGAGCAACTGCAAAACAATTCCTTCCTTTGACTAATCAGAGTAGCTCAAACCAAAAATATAAATTACCTCAAAGGGAAGAACAGAACAGTTACTCAGAAATAAAAGAACTTGTTTCTCTGTAGGCGCTGTTCGATCTGTTAAAGAAACTCTTAACAGCCAGTTCGTGGAGAATTGCAAGGGGGTGATTCAGCGGCTGACGCTCCAGGAGCACAAGATGGTGTGGAACCGCACGACCCACCTGTGGTACGGACCCTTCCTCCACCGCCAGGGGTGGGGTGTGCTCCGGGCTCTGATTTGGATGCATCCCTGGGTTCCGTGCTGACCTCTAGAACATCCACAGAGTTCCCAGGGGTGGGGGGGTGGTGGTGGAATCTATCCATGTGTCCTCTCAAGTTTGAGTTCACTGACTTAAGGCATGGATGAAAGATGTTGGTGTTTATAAAATAATTTTGCACCATTACATTTCCATTGGGGGGGTACCATTTCCCCCATAAACCTTATTTATTTATTTTTTTTAAAGATTTATTTATTTATTTATACAAGCACTGGGTACAGTCAGAAGCGCGGGAGGGTGAGAGAATTCACCAGAGCCAGAGTGGGGAGCAGAACAGGCAGACTGACGAAATACACTGCTGAGGGGAGCAGCGGGGTGGCAGGAGAGGTCTGCGCACCATGTGGGACCCTTGCCAGCGGGCTGGAACCGGTGCTGCAGAAGCTGCGGGCAGCTTCGCAACCCAGCACTCAACTGCTGTGCCACCAAGGGAGGCCCCCTTAATGGGTTTTTGTTTGAATTTTTTACATCTATAAAATCAAAATTTTAAATTATGGTTAAAACACTTAATATGAGAGCTCCCCTTTGAACACATTTTTAAGTACAACAAACCAAAACTGTTAGCTAGAGGCACCAAGTTGCACCTGAGATCGCTCTTTTGTCATGTATAGTTGAAACTTTATGCCCATTGAACAGCAATTTCTGTTTTCTTCTCCTCACAATGCCTGCTGGAAACCACAATTCTTTCTGTTTCTTTGACTGTTTAGATATCGCCTATAAATGGAATCACGCGGTATTCCCTGTTGCCTGTGAGTGGCTTAGGTCCCTGTGGCAGGGACTCCTTTTTTATGACTGAGAAATAGTCCATGGTCTGTATTTACAGGTATAGGTGTAGCTGTATCACAGTTTCTTTATTCGTTCATCTGTCGGTGGGCACTTCGGTTGCTTCCTTGTCTTAGCTGTGGGAGTGGGACCAAACCACACTTGGCAGCAATGGGACTGAGTGTGTAGATACAGGTCTCCCCACGCTGAGAGGAGCGCATCCCGTGATACCTGTGCTCAGCCCAGCTGGTGTGAAGTGAAGAAGCAGTTACCGTTAATTAACATGGAAAACGCTCCGGGTATTTCCAGACCCAAAATATCACCTACTCAATCATACCAAATAGTACACACAACCTAAAATAATACCAAGTTATGATAAAAGCAGGGATAACACGGAAATATAAAGCCTGTATAAACCTTGGTGACAAACCTTGGTGACATTGCAGGTTTATTTCTAGATGGCCAGAATAAAGCGAGTCCTAATAATTCTTCTGGGTGCATATAAAATTGATGTTTATGTCACACTGTAGCCTATTAGGTGTGTCATAGTGTCTCTTAAAAAAGAGCGTACACCTTTTAATTACAAAAGACATCACTGATAAAAATTGCTAGCCTTTCTGAGCCTTCAGGGAGTCTAAATCTTTTTTTGCTGGTGGAGGGTCTTGTGAGAAAGATAGTTGTCTGCAAGGTGCAGCGGTGAAGCTGAGCCCGGTGAGATGACCTATGTCGAGTTCCAGGGCAGGAGCCTCTCCGCCGCTTGGGGTGCTGCTGCCTCTAGAACAACTGGCTGCAAAACACACGTTGAGTGCCCTTTCTGCTTGTTGCCTTGTGTTGTAAAAATGAAAATCCTCTTTGGATTTCTTAAGTTAGCAAAGCAGGTACCGATGTAGGTCTTTCATAGGTCTGAACTTCTATAAACTGGAACTTGCAGAAAGCGGGGGTATCTCTGTCTCTTAGAGATCTTGGTTTCGGTTCTTTGGATGTGTTCTTCAAAAGTGGGGGCTGGATCACTTGGTAGTTCTGCTTTTAGTTTTTGAGGAATTGAATATTTATTTTATGGTGGCAAAGGAGATAAGCAGAGGTTATCTGTGACAGTGCCTGAAAACCTAAAAAACTGAGCTTCCCTGTCAAGAGGTGCATGGTCATAGCGACTGCTGCGGGTCTTCGGATTCTGGCCTGGGCCAGCACGTGGGTGCTCTCCAACCCTGCAGGGGCGAGCACTTTGCTGTTTCTTGTCTTATCTTGAGTTCTCTTACTGTTGTAGGAATGACTGTTCAAAAATCATTCACCAGAGGACCAACACCGTGCCCTTTGACCTGGTGCCGCACGAGGATGGTGTGGCCGTGGCCGTGCGCGTGCTCAAGCCACTGGACTCGCTCGATCTGGGCCTTGAGACGGTGTACGAGAAGTTCCACCCCTCGATCCAGTCCTTCACCGATGTCATCGGCCACTACATCAGCGGCGAGCGGCCCAAAGGCATCCAGGAGACCGAGGAGATGCTAAAGGTGGGGGCCACCCTCACAGGGGTGGGTGAGCTGGTCCTGGACAACAACTCGGTCCGCCTGCAGCCCCCAAAGCAGGGCATGCAGTACTACCTAAGCAGCCAGGACTTTGACAGCCTGTTGCAGAGGCAGGAGTCGAGCGTCAGACTCTGGAAGGTCCTGACACTGGTGTTTGGCTTTGCCACCTGTGCCACTCTCTTCTTTATCCTCCGAAAGCAGTACCTGCAGCGGCAAGAGCGTCTGCGCCTCAAGCAGTTGGAAGAGGAGTTCCGGGAGCACGAGGCCCAGCTCCTGAGCCAAGCCAAGCCTGAGGACAGGGAGACCCTGAAGAATGCCTGTGTGGTGTGCCTGAGCAGCTTCAGGTCCTGCGTCTTCCTGGAGTGTGGGCATATCTGCTCCTGCACGGAGTGCTACCGTGCCCTGCCTGAGCCCAAGAGGTGCCCCATCTGCAGGCAGGATATCACCAGGGTGGTCCCCTTGTACAATAGCTAACGGCTTCGGAGCCCAGTCAGACATGGCGGGATACCCCGCTCCCTTCAGGGATTGTTGTCTGGGGCCTTCAGAAGAGCTGTTGTGAGGCAGCTGTTATCTTCAGGGTGATTGGAGGAGGGAAGTCGGGGCCTCTCCAGACCTTATATCTTCAACAAGAGGGTGTTGCCTTTCCACCCTGGGGGGGCAGTTTTCAGCCCAGAGTGTGGGATTGAAGCCCCCCTAGAATGGGTGTGGGGGCATGGCATTCCTCCCCAGGAGCCAGAGAAGTGGGTATGTGACCGAAAACCTCTCATCTCTTACGTGCCAGAGCCGGTGACCTTCAGCTCTACTACTTCTGTGTCTTCTGGTTCTTTCTGATGAACTGTTGGTTCCTGTGGACTTGAGCTTGAATGACTCAGCCAGCAGGGAGGCGAAGTTGCCTTGCAGAGCCACCATGGAGGAGGGTTCTGTCATAGTCTTTTGCTTACACCTTATGGAAAAATTGTTAGGCTGACCGTGTCACTTGTGTCCCTTTCCCCTCGCCTGCTGGCAGCCTCAGTGTGTGCCATGTAGGTGAGGACAAAAGAAAGGGAAATCCAGCCTTCTTCCCCCTGAACAGGTGGGACCCCAGAAGGGACAGCGGCCCCTCGAAGGGCAGCTGGTGATTCAGCGGTGAAGACAGGGCAGCTTGGCTGCAGCCACCTGGGTCTTCCCTGACCTGAAGGGCAGGCCACTGGAACACACTTCTGGCCACTGGAGCACACTTCTGGCCACTGGAGCACACTTCTGGCTGACTTGGAGCTCGCCCGTCATGGGGAAGGGGCGGCTCTGGTTTTCCCTGCCTGACGTGAGCTGGAAAGCTGAAGGAAGCAAAAAGGACTCTGCCTCCTGCGTCCTGGCTCCCTCAGTTGCGCCAAGGCTCACCAAGGAGATGTAACCTGCTTCAACTGAGCAGGGGCCTGGCCCAATCACCTCCCCTCCCCCCCAAAAAAGTTAGCATCCCATGGGTGTAAGCATATTGTCCCTGTTCACCCCCTCAGAGAAGTGGGCTCCTCTCTCACCACCGCGGTGCACAGCTCTACCTTCCCTGGCTGTGAATGATCATCCCCAGTCCTCCTTTGTGTGGGGGTGGCGGGGTGTTCTCTGGGGCTGATGCCAGTTCTGTGCAGTGCCCAGTGTGAATGGCACACATTAAACACCTACAACCAAGTGGTCGCCTGCTGCCTCATCAACAGCAATTCAGTGGCGGGCTGAGGCTTCTGAGGGAGGGCTCCCGACCCCTGTGACAGTGAACTGGTGACCTGGAGGCCTGTATGTGTCCTCAGCCTCGAGGTGGTTTGGGGCTCCCCTAGAAGGTGTGCAGCTTGGTGGTGTCTCAGGCTGTCCTGGGGAGCAGGCTGGGCTCACGCCTGGCCTGGCTCTTCTTTGAGATGTCCCAGTATCCTCCAAGTGAGGCAGTGAGATTTCACCTGTGGAGAGACTGGGACAAGGGGAGGGGACGTTCAGTGAGTTACACTGCTGTGTGCTCTTTCAGTCTTCAGTTTAAGTGTGAGTTAATCCTCACGACCCCGCTGCAGTCGCTCATGGTGTCTCTGCTTTACAGACCGGAAGTAAGCTAAAGGGCAGGTTCCCTTGCGGGGCATACTGCTAATAGGTGGTGAGTCCACATTTGAACTTCTGATCCTCCTGCTCACCAGCAGTGGGGCTGACTAATGCCCTCAGTGCACACAGGAGCACCCCACAAGATGTTTCCCGGGTTAGTGCAGGATGCTGCCTGGTGGAGGAACAGGTGGAAGTGAGGCCTCACTTGCCAGTGCTGAGTCCTGTCATGAGCGATGAAGACCCTAGCCGGGCGTGGTGGCGCGCGCCTGTAGTCCCAGCTACTTGGGAGGCAGAGGCAGGAGGATCACTTGAGTCCAGGAGTTCTGGGCTGCAGTGCGCTATGCCGATCGGGTGTCCGCACTAAGTTCGGCATCAATATGGTGACCTCCCGGGAGCGGGGGACCACCAGGTTGCCTAAGGAGGGGTGAACCGGCCCAGGTCGGAAACGGAGCAGGTCAAAACTCCCGTGCTGATCAGTAGTGGGATCGCGCCTGTGAATAGCCACTGCACTCCAGCCTGGGCAACATAGCGAGACCCTGACTCGCAAAAAAAAAAAAAAAAAAAAAAGACCCTGGTTTTACACAAGCCCTTGGGGGCCTTGGTCAGGGGCAGGGTGACCAATGGCAATGACCCCCTGGTGCCTCAAAGGCTTCTACCTCTTCCCTTGCCCACTGGACAGTTGTTTGGCCAGAGCGCCCAGGTGCTAGTGGCTGCACTGCCCATGGGGGGTTCATGTGTTAATCCCGGATTTCAGCCCTTGGCAGAAATTTCACAAGAAATCTGATCACTGACTGAAAAGAAGGGAAGGCGCCTACCCTCACCCGGCCCAACTAAAAATCTATGTCAGACAAGAATTCTTGATTCCTGGGGAGTTCCTCCAGAGCCTAGCACCCCGCCAGGGGAGTGGCCAGAGCAGCACACTGTCTGTGCCTCATGGAGGGGTCGCTGGCTGGCAACATGGGCACAACCCAGATTCTGGTCTGTGCTCCGTGCCAGCCTTTCCCACACCTCATCAAAATAGAGCCTCACCTCCAGGAAGAACGGGTGGGACCTATACTGACAGGACCCAGGTGGTATGGGGGTGCCAGGGCAGAGGATGTAGGAAGTTAGTTCTAAACTGGCTTGTTGGGAATTTTGATTCTTTGCTAAGTCAACACTTAGGCTCAGCTGCTTTAGCCCTAGGTGGGGGTCATCTTGGATGACTGCTCTTGTGGTTTTGAATATCTGGGCCGGTTGCTTTATATGCATTAGCCTTTATGGGTCCTACAAAGGCTCAGAGGGGTTCGTTATGTTTTTCCTAGAGCCACACGTCACGACAAGCCATGCATTGTGAGTTCCTTCCAGGCATAATTTTTACAGAACTAGAACCAGTGTGGACGGCTTTATTACCCTTCTTACAGATGATGTGATTTGCTGAGGCCCCTGTGGTCTGAGGCTAAAGAGGCAAGTGTCCAAGAGGCAACTGGGTACAGTCCCATGGCGTTTCCTGAGCCAGCCAACAGCTTGGACTCTCCAGGTGTCCTGTTTTACAGGTGGCAGGTGGAAGCTTTGCAGTTTCCCTTTATCCTGGGGGAGCTGGAGCTGAAAGGCAGGTCTTTGGAGTCCTAATTCATTCAGAATTAGGCTGGAAAGTTCAAAGAGCACACAACATAGGCAATCTCACATGCCTGTTTCTGGGCTTTGAAGACCCCAGTTGGACAATAGTTCTCATGCTGATCCCAGGGGGCCCCTGGAATGTTCCAGAGAGAGGCTGCCATCTTGGTATCAGTGATGGGCATTAGTTCCTGTAACATACAGTTGCTGTGTGTATGTTATGTACCTGGAGGTGCAAAAGTGAGTAAAACAGTCCTTGCTCTCAAAGGGCTAAGACTTGTTTTTTAATGTAGCCCTTTGGCCAGATGCGGTGATTCAGTTGGGAATAATTGTGGCTCACAGAATATTGTAGCTGGGAGGAGCCTTTGACATTGACCTGGTTAGAATAACTTCTCTGACAATTCAGAACCAACCAACCTAGGGCAGTAGGTCATTGCTGAAGGTAAGCCAAGCAGAGAACACATCCTCCACAGGGCTCATGTCTCCTACTTAAACCCCCCGGTTCCATGGCTCCTCCAGCCCAAGCCCTGGCTCCTCCATAGCATCTGAGGGCCTGCATTCCCCAGCACCGTTCTGTCTCTCCTTGGCTCCAGAACTCTGAGCCATTGAGAATCCTTAAACGTGCCATGCTGTTCCCTGCCTCCAGTCTGTTCCTGATGAGGACTAGCTCTGGAATTCTGGTCCTTTCTAACCTTGCCAATAACTGTTCACCCTTTGAAACTCAGCTATGGGCGTCTTCTCCAGAGAACCTTCCCCGGCCCTCCCCACCTAGACCGGGTTGGGTCCCTCTCCTTGGAACGTCCTTATTCTTGCTCTCAGCTGTATCGCCCATATCTTCGGTGGGAACTGACTTGTTTTCCTTCTCCGGAACAACTTTTAGGTCATCACTGTATGCTGATTAGGGCTGACAGTGGGGCTTGCTCCTTCCAAGGAACCTGCTAAGTACTGTATGTGATTGATGTCATTCAGTGCTCACCATGAGGTATGTTTGTATTATTCATTCTTTAAAAAGAAGGAAACCAAGGCCCAGAGAAATGGAGTGTCTTGCCCAAGCAAATGAGAGACAGAACTTAAGCCCAGGCAGTCTGATACCAGCCTCTACTGCTGAATGCATATGGAGTGAGTGAGTAAACCAGTGAGTGAAATGGTAATGTTATTGTGCAACCTAGGGGTACGAAGGGACCCCCCAAACTTGCATGCTTTAAAGGGATTCTGCTATCTCCTACATAAAGACAAAAGTGGATTCTGTGATAGCTCTTTAATAGAATTGGTGGAGAACGAGGACATTGCTAATAAAAATTTCCCAACACCCCAAATTATCCATCCCCTCATGGGCAAAAGCTCAGCTAACAGGGTCAACAACCCAGAGTGGGGTCACTGAGGTCCAAAAGCTTGCCACAAGTCTAAGGTATCTCTTGCTGGGAACAGCAAGAAAGAGTTTAGGCAAGTCTGGTGCAAAAGAGTAAAATAAAAGCACAAATCAAGATAACGGCTGCTCTTGTCTTTGCCGAGGACAGCCTTCTGGGTGTCTCTCATCCACGTAGCTCTTTCCAAATTCTACTTGTCTCTCTTCCATTCCTCCCCCCACCCCCCAAGTCCCTGGGTGCCAGTCAAAGCCAGAGAGGGATGAGCCCACCTGTATATAGCTTCTCTTGGCTGCTCAGCTCTGCCCCTAGATCCCAGTAGCTAGTTCAAGGCAGCTGCATAGAAGTGGGGGTGGGAAAGCAGTGCCTGTTCATAGCTTGCAATGTTTGCAGTGCTCCTCCCCCTGTTACAGTAAGTATGGGACAAACAATTCTGGAAGGCTGCCTGGAGGAGTTGGTTTTTGGATCAGAGATAAAGGCCTTGACTTGGTTGTAAGGAAGTGAGGGAAGGGCCTCTCTTAGGGCCCAGAAGCTTAGGTGGTTGATTTGTACAGGAGGAATACCACGTCCTGTGACCTGTCTAGAGTTTTGAGGACTCCACACAGGAAGTCCAGTGTCATGGTGATAAGTGATCTGGACTAGGAGCTCAAAGGCTGGTTTTCTCTATGGTACTGGTTCTGTTGCTGTGTAGTCTTGACGGAAGTAGTAACCTTTCTGGGGATCTGTTCTGTCTTAAAAGTAGCAAGTTGATTTGCAGCTCTCCAAGGCTCCATGCTTCTCTGCACTGACACTTTGCATGTCAGTGAGCTGACACATGGGTGCAGGACCAGGTCTGAGAACTGTGATGTGTACCCCCTTCCGGCTAGCTGCCCACAAAAGCATCAGAACCATGTTCCCCGAAAGGGTGGAGACCAGCACATTTTCTCACTAATTAGATAGCATTAACTTATCAATTTTGGATAAGCTTCCTCGTATGATGTCCCGAATTGCTCCCTGAAGTGTTCATTAGTCACTTCCCCGCAGCTGCTGTATTGTTTTTCTGATGCCAGCCAGGGACCTGGTGTTTTCTTTGTCCAAGAATGGGCCACGCGAGGCTGAGCTAGTGACTTTGGCATTGGTCAGAGGGGCTGACCAGGCTTGAGTGAGGGCCTCGCCCTCTATTCCTGCCAGAGCCATTGTCTCACATTAGGCGCCACAGATTCCTGTGGGATTAGGCCACAGCTAACTCCATAAGCATTTATTAGGCACCCAGTGTTCCAAGCAGTTTGTATCTGAAACTTGAATTATTCTCTAGGTCAGGAGGAGGGGGGTACACATGAAGTCACATTAATATCAATGTCCAACTTATCACAGCTGCAGTTTCCCTTTATTCCCTCCCCTCATTATTTAAGGTGCTTCAAAGGCAGGGCTTCCCTCATGTTTGCAATCAGTTGGCTCAGTCTGTTTCTTAGGTCCTTCCACCCCCAGGGCGCCCCCCCACCAACACTGCGATCTCTATTCTGACCTGCAGGTGGCGCTGTGCCCCTATGGTTGAGGCGGGCAGGAGCTGGCGGACACCAGCCTCAGGCTGGTGCAGTTTCCTCTTTCTGGAGGCTTGGGGGTCTGAGAGCAGAGCCTGAGGGGGACCCCCGGGCTGCAGATCCCAGGACCAGTTGGACACAGCCCCCAGAGGGGAGAAGCAGGGCGTTTTTCTCCTCTTCCCTCCTTTCCCTGTCGGATTCATCAGGAAGCTGCTCATCAAAGAGATTTTTTTGAGAAACCCAAAAAATTCATGAGGCTAAATTCCGCATTTCACCCCCTATAATTTTCCAGGCATGCACATCTTGAAATACACTAACCACCATTTCTTTCAACAAAACGAGATATGCATAAAGCTTCACATACTCTTAAAATACGCAATGGTTTCACACAGGTAGAGGAAGCTTTAAAAATCGGCTTAGATTTTGGGTTTCTCCCCAGATTTTTCTCCATGGGGAAATCCTGCTGCTCCTGGCCTGACCTGCTTTCCCAGCAAGATCTTGTTTCCACCAGCCCCTCTGTCCTCTTGCTGCCCTTCCCTGCTGTCCCTGCAGCCAGTGAGCCACCAACTACTTTACTTGCCTCTGGTGCCGAGTCTGCCTCCCGCCTCAGTGCATGTGAGAATTTCTTCCTCAGCTTGTGGATCTGCCTTCCTCTCCGAGGTTCTTATTTAGCCCTATGATCCTGTGAGCTCTATTTCTGCTAGTCTGTCTCTCCTCACATCTTTCTCATCCTGTGCCTGGCACCTTTGCTCTGGGACAGGTTTCCCTGCCCCACACCACCCCCTCAGCCCCGGGCCAGGCAGCACTGTTCCCCTACCTTCTACCCCTCCTGTCACACAGCAAGTGCCTCTCCTGTGAGAGCTCTTTCTGTCCACCCCTGCAGGCCCTGTGGGGCTTTGGCTGCTGGGACTGGCTGCCTGAAACTGTCCCTTACCTTTACCCCAGTGACCTGATCAATCAGCACCTTATCTGAGCCTCACAATCTCCCTTTGAGCTGCTCTGACTACCCTCACTTCATAGCTAAGAGGAATTCTGGCTGGAGACTGAAGTAGGGAGGGGTGGAGCTAGCAA